GTTAGTACGTCATATGCTTCGTTGATCTGATTGGTTTATTTGGCCCGTCTATCACCAACATAGGCCAATCAGCTAACCAGTATTTTCGGCCCTTCCCAAAATTTCTTCAACCGAAGGTTTCCAGATGGATATGCGGAGCAAATCCATCTGGCGGAGTCAGGTTAAACGGTCAGAGCATGGTAACTGAGATAAATGTTGAGTGTAAATGTAAGGCAACTAAGCTGAACCGTGCCAGACACAACCGAACCGTGCTAAATTTAGTACGGTACGGCTCGGCACGGTTCATCTATAGCTCGGTTCTCTGATAACACAGACCACATGAGCAGACTGCGTCATCTCACATTTAAGCCTGGTTTATGCTCAGAAACCAGGTCATCTGCGTGTGTGTGGCAATAAACGTAGATGCCCCCCCTTCCGCAGACACTCTGGTGCACCTCCCCAAATTTTTTGGTGACCCAAGACAGTGTCGCAGGGAGGAGAGAAAGGAGGCCTCTGATTGGTCAGTTCTACATCCGCTCAACACTATGCGTATTTCCTGTTTGGTACCAAATGGCAGAAACTCTGGCTGTAGGGCCGTCTACAATGCCTGGCACACCTCGGACACTATCCCAGACACCGCGCAGGACGCTAGTTTGTAGCTCTGTGCAACGGTCTGTTGGTTTGCCATGGCCGGTCTTTGGGGAACACTCACGGGTGAACTGTGTGTCATCCGGCGTTGGATCCTAAAAAGTTGGATCCTAGCTAGTTCCTGATTGTCACTCTTGTGTTGTGGCGTGGAATAACGTAGCACAGACCGCGCTTCAATATTTGGCATCAGAAATATTTCCGTCATACCTGCGACAGGCTAACTGCGACACGCTGCTACGGAGGATACCCAGCCCTTTACAGTCAGCTGATTCGTTTTCCAGCTCCTCACCTGGTCACAACACAAACTATTTCTTAGCGGACTAGCAATAAATAGCATCAAAAGAGTGTTATGCAACCTGTGATGATTCCGATAACAAGTAGGATGCCTTCTTCGCTTGAAATGACGAATGACGTTCACAAAAGACGAAATATCACTGATATAAACAAACTTCAGTTCCTGAAAGTTATGGGCGCCACCATTTTTTTGCGTAATTCCCTCCTTGACAGATGAAGTATCGTGGACCTACGGTGGCCCTGAAGTGCAAACTGCAACTACCAATCTAAAAGCGCAACTACATTAAGGAAATCGCAACTACATAAAGAAAAGCGCAGTTTGACCCTTGAACCGGAAGTTGTGTCATCTGAAC